TATGCAGTAAAAATGAAATGAAAAAAAATCTTTGTGGGAAATTTTTCTTATTGGTACCAAGGATGGAATATCGATTTCAACGCATTGCACACCCCTCCTAAATTATGACCCCTGGCTAACATGAGGTTTTGTGTAAAAGAACGTTACAAACCAAAACGTGTGTGAAAAAAAAGCTAGAAGTTTGCAAAAAATTTCCTGAGCTTTACTACTAGTAAACATGTGAAATGTTCCTAACAACAATAAAATCTACTGGAAAGCTGTTCTTACAACAGTTCAAACATCATTATTTACTTATTTACCAATTACTAGTAGGATGAGTATCCAATTTAAGACACATAGCATGTATGATTTGACACCATAAAACAACTTCTTAACTCATGGAAAAGAATAAAGTCTTTGTTGTTCCTCCTCTTACTAGTAGTAGGTCATAGACCTCCTCCTTTACTCATCATAAGCATCCTTACCATTGGCTTCAGCCATCTCAATCTCTGCCAAATTAACCTGCTTCTCAAACCACTGCCAGCTTTAGATACAAAGAATGCTGCTCCTTTTCCTACTACTAGTACGACATACTCTGGATCCAAGCAGGAGCGCCTTGCTGAGAGGACTCTGGAAGCGTGGCTAAAGACGCACTCAGATGGGGCTGAAGTGGGTTGCACAGGAAGAAAGCCTGGTGCTTTTTCCACCACCGGAGAGGATCATTGTTTACTGTCTTACTTCCAATTGGTGTCTTGACGACTAAGGCCAACAAGCGCTCAGAACACACGACCCACATGTAACAAAGCTCAAGAAGTTCATGTCTACAAGCATGATCAATATTGACATCTGTTGCACCATTGCTAAATTGATGGCAGAGTTTCCTCTTCAGCTTTTGCCTCTTCTTCCTCCATCAGCTCAAATATGTTCATGTCAGCATCATCAACACAAGTATCAACACCAGTACTACTAGTAGTACATTCTCAACCTTCCAAGCAATAACTTAGTAGTTTTTGCACCGTAGAAACTATTTGCGTTAGCGATCCAATCTAAAGTAGACCGTCAGACTTTTAGACCATCTAGATTAACGGGAATGACCAAATGGTGGAAGGCAACTTGGCTGCTGTTTCTGTTTCTTTCTCATCCGGCACAATCCATTGGATTTATTGAGACACCAGGGAAAAGAAATGCATTTTTTTCAAAACAGGAATCGCCCTCGCTCGTCCTTTGAATTAAAGGTAGGGAAATCCCATTTGCTCGAAGTTACCGTCCATCTCGTCACGCGCAGACGCGATGTTGCCGTCCGGCGGAAAGTGAACCGCAACCCGGAATGGGACTGGTACAATACGAACAAAGATGACATCCACAGAGAATTCTTGGAATTGTTGGAGGCATCGGTGCTGTCGAGAATGTTTGGAGACGAAATCGAAGGCTACCATCGGAAAAAGAACCCTTCTGTGATGGAAGGAAACAACGGGGAAATGGGCTTTGGGAAAGTAGGATCCAAGAATCGCGTCATTCGGAGCAAGGGCAACGGCATGGCGAGCGGGACGAGGAAGCGAAAAGGGACGACAGTTCCAAGCAATTCCAAGAAACATAAAGTCTTTCTCGAGACCAACAATGATGGGGAAAACAATAGCAAGCCCGAGAAGGACATTTATTTTTCCTTTGGCGAATTGATCCAACTCGCATACAAGAAAGAGCCCATCAAAGACGACAGAAGCTCGCGAACCATCATTTTCGAGTCCTTACCATCGAAATCCAATAGAAAGATCGCTGATGGACACAACGGCAACAGCGAAACAATAACGCGGGCGGCGGGAGGAGGAACATTTCTCGACCGGCAGAAACTCTCCCATCGACTGCTTGTTTGGATTGGCAAAAGCGAAGCAGCAGCTTCTGCGGGTGGTGGACATTCACACGCCACAGCGGCCGAGGGAATGTACCGAAACGAAATGGTTCCCATTTCGAGCCTCTTTCGAAAACCACCTGAGTTTGTGTCTCTGTCGGACGACGATGACGGAGACTAGGACAAACGGAGTGGACAGCGGTCGAGGACCCAATCTGCTTCCCATCCCCTTCTTGGTATCTCCCAGAAACACTTCTTGAAAAATTGTCTACGGGTATGTAATATCTGTTTGGTATACCAATCAGTTACTACCCAATATAGCGTACGAGACAAGGCAAAACAATACAAAAATTAACTGGCCGTTCTTTTATGTCATTTCAGCATTTGGTCCGGTCCACTCGAATAAATAATATACGACCTCTTATTGATTACTCTGCCTGCCTACGCTCTTGAGCACCGAGGATAATTTAAAACCCTCTCGCTGCTTGCCTCGGCTCTGTGCCCGCTTGTTGACGTGGCCGTTGATGTCGGAAGACCGCTTCATGGGAGACGGTGGCACCATGCTGTTGGAATTGCTCTTGGAACTACTCTTGCTGTTGGAATTGCTCTTATCGGATGCCGTCAGACCGTTGCGATTGCCGCGCTGGGAGTGGTTCATGTGGAGAATGCCCGACTCGTCCACGAGTGGCTTTCCAGATTCGACCGTTCCCACCAAGAAGCGCAATTCGTTGTCGACCTTCTGAAGCCGCAGCTCAAAGTCCGTCTTTTTGTAGGCGTCCTCGATGGTCTCGTTCCGGGCACCCCATGTCTTTCGGGCCACGGCTAGTTCGTCTCGGGCTTCCTGCAGCCTTCCCAGCGCGTAGTAGACCTCGGTCTTGACGGTCCAGGCAGTGAGGTTGTCCTGCTTCAGGGAAATAGCTTCCGCACAATCTGCTAGGGCGGCTTCGTACTGATCCGACAACAGATTGGCTTCGGCTCGTTCCGTCAAGAGAATTCCGTACAGTGGAGCACCGTGGGGGATCGGCTCCTGCCCGTCTTCCATGATGGCGGTAAACAAGTCCACTGCCTCCCTAGATCGACCTCGCTTAACCCGCGCTTGTCCCTTGTGAAAGGTATTCATTTTGATTTGACAAGCCTGCAAAATACCAGAGGCATTGTCGTTCGAGGTGTCTTCAATGTCGCCCTCGAGTGATTCCTTCAGCAGATTGATCCCTTGTTCCATTTCCCCCGACAAAAATGTAGCGTATCCTCGGACCCGCAGGGCTTCGCCGTGCTTGGGGTTGAAGCCCAATACTTTTTCGACTCTCGAGAGGGCCGAATCCGTCAGCCCCAGGAAGGTATCTACCCGAGCCGTCGAGAGCCACAGGGCTACGTTGTCGGAGACCTTGACAATGTTGTGAAGAATATCGTGGGCCTTCTGGTAATCTTTGGCTTCGATCAATTCGTTCACCTGGGTGATCAATTTCTTTTCTTCCTTAGCATTTTCAAGCTCTTCGTTCAAGCGCTCCGACTCGGGAAGCTCCTTCAGGGCGGATTCGAGGCACCGATAGGCATCATCGAACGAACCGAGTGCCATGAGGGCTCTCCATTTGCGAATATAGGATTTTTCGTGCTTGGGATCGAATTCGACCGCCTTGTTGCAGTCGTTGACGGTTTCGCGGAATTGCTTTTCTCGGAAGTACGTTACGGCTCTGTTGGCGTAGAGATTGGCAGCTAGCTCGCGGCCTTCGGGTGTGTGTTCGCCACCCGGTGGCATGCAGGCCAGGCCCTCGCCATAGAGTACCCTGGCACCCGGTACATCGCCCTTGTTCAGCTTTGCGTTGGCTTGCTTTTTCAGTTTCTCGGCGCGCTCGAATTCTTCGGGATCGATCTTCGTGGGCAGATCAAACTCCTGGCTCTTTCCTTCGGGGACGGAACCCATGGCCGCTCCGACGGTTGGAACAAAAAAGTTGCTGGTGTCGTTCGCATCCGTTGCGCTCGGGACGGTCGGCGCGTGACCGGCCTCGTGCCCCAGGTTCGCATTCTCTGCACCACCCGCCTTCGAATCGGTGCCGATCGCGTCGCCAACCTCCTGCTTGATCTTGACGAGTTCCTCCTCGAGCTTGTCCGATCCCGGCACCTGCCGCTTGCCTTCTTCGAGGCATTGGATCGCGTCGTCGTATCTCTGCATCGAGGCCAGGGCCCTGGCTTTCCGGCTGTAGGGTTTCTCTCCCTTGGGATCGAGCTCGATCGCGTTCTCGCAATCCCGCACGCTCTGCCCGAATTCTTGGTCCCGGTAGTAGGTGACGGCACGGTTGGCGTACAGCGACGCCAGGCACGTGCGGACCACCTCGTTTTCGCGATCGTTGGGCAGGACCGCCATGGCCTCGGTATAGAGCATCCGTGCCCCGGCTACGTCCCCGCGATTGAACTTGGCATTGGCGTTTCGTTTGAGCTTGTCGGAGAGCTCAATGTCGTCGGCATAGGTAAGCTCCTCTCGGCCGGTAGAAAGCGTCTGGGCCGCCTTGGAGCCGGTGTGGCTCGGGGGATAAAAGTTGGAAAGGCTGCCCACGGAGGCATTGAAGTCCACGGAATCGCTGGATCCTCCCTTCCCGCTGAGGTTTCCCAGTGTGTCCCGCTGATCGATGATCTTCGACAATTCCTCCTTGACTTTCTTGGATGTCGGGAACAACTTGTAGGCATCCTGCAGGCACCGGGAGGCATCGGTTTGGCGTTCGAGACCGACCAAGGCGCGGGCCTTGCGGATGTAGGATTTTTCTGCCTCGGGGTTCCGCTCGATGGCCTTGTCGCAGTCGTCGAGACTCTCTTGGTACTGCTTGCTTCTGTAAAAGGTCACCGCCCGATTGGAATAGAGTTCCGACAACAACGCCTTGACGCCTCGGCTGTAAAAGCCCGTGGTGGGTATGCAGGCGAGGGCATCGCTGTACAGAGCACGCGCGGCCTCGATGTCGCCCTTGTTGAACTTGGCATTGGCTTGCTTCTTGAGGCGCTCGGCACGGTCTAGAACGGTGTGGTTCGGATCTCCGGCCACGGAAATGTCCATCTCGTGGTTTCCAAAGACCCCGCCGCTGCTCGCCACCGTAGCCTTGTCGTTGTACGCGTACGACATGCTGGCGATCGACTGGTCCGACGATTTTCGCTGGTTCGGTCCACCGAACCCGGCGGGTGCCAGGCTCTTGCGGAGCTGCTCGTGGAGCTTGGTCGAGTTTGGCAGCTGGGCCGCTCCCGCCTGGAGGCAGGCGAGGGCCTTGTCCTTTTCGCCCATGGCGTCGAGTGCCCTCCATTTTCGAATGTACGTCTTTTCGGACTTGGGATCCAGCTCGAGCGACTTGTTGCAGTCTTCGACGCTGGGGGACAGTATCCGTTCCCGGTAAAACGTGACGGCTCGGTTTGAGTAGAGGGAGGCCACCATGATCCGGACCTCCTGGATGATGTCGCTTTCGATTTTCTGGTCGGTTCCGCTTGTCTCGCCGGCCTTGGCGTCCAGCGGAAAGTCCGAGAGCAGGGCCAGCCCCTCGCTGTAGAGAACCCGCGCCCCCTCCACGTCGGCTCGGTTGAATTTTGCGTTGGCTTGCTTCTTGAGCTTGTCGCAGCGTTCCATGGCGCGCATGAGCTCCTCCGGATCGTAGTCGTAGTCCGGAACGACGTCGATGGCATCCGCGTTGTGGCTCGGGCCCGAAACGGCGGAAGCCCCGGCCGCGCCTCCCGCGACGCCGACAAATGTGCCCCCCGGCGATCGAACGGGAACCTTCTTGAGGACCACCGAGGCGTCGACCATTCGCTTGTGGTGGGCCCCGGTGCCCCGGGTCGTGACACCGACGTTGGCACGTTCTCCCGGTTCCACCCCGGCGTCGTAGAGCGTGGTGAGTCCCTCGCCTTCGCCGGGTTTTCTCGACCCCAGGGGCGGTGCTCCCGAGGGTCCCTTCGAGGCGATCGAGGATCCCACCGGTGGCCGCTTCGAAGCGGCTACGGGGGAATCGGTGTATCGATCGTTGGCCAGGAGGAGGTTGGACGGAAGGTCTCCGTAATTTCCTGCCCAGTATTCGGCCGGACCCTCGGTGCCCCTGGCGTTGCCAACGCTTTTTGCTTTCCCCGTCGGGCACCTCACCTGTACCATTTGGAGCAACAGGAAGGCCAGTGGCTGAGCGTCTTTCAGGGGAGCTGCCGCTATCCAGTTGCCGCCGTCCACCTGCATGCTGGTGTTCCCGTCGTTCTTTGCGTTCTCGCCGGATATCCTCAGGTCCTTGCTGGTGACGGGACACAGACACGGTTCGTTTCTTTCTGTGCACTTTTTGACGTGCCCCACCAGGCAGGATTCGCAATAGACATTGTTGTAGGACGTGACCACCACCCCGGACTCCAGGTTGGCGAGATTGTTGCATATCCGACAGACGAAACTATCGTAGTGCGACGAGTCCGAGGTGACTTGCGAGACGTCGAAACCCATCGTTGTATTCCTCCAGCACCCTTTCCAGTGCTCCACCGGTCACTCACAACACCGGCTGTCTGCTAACAAGATACTGCTTATGCTTCTGCTTCTGCTTATTGTATTCAAATGTCTCGGGGGAGGGTTCCATTGAAATCACAAAAACTGGTTGTCCTCCGTTTCGCTCTTCGTCGATCGTTTGCACTTTTTCGTTCCGATCACTGTTGAGGTAGAAGTACGAAGAGCCTTCTGTTATTTTGCGATAGTTATTTTCCTCCTCTCGAGTGATCATCCGACTCTTTCCGAGACGGAAGCAAGACAAGGACAGAGGGAACCGATGGAAGGTACGATTTGGAAGCTATCCCCTGGTATTTTTAGTATGTATTTGTACTTCGGTTACGCAATGAAATCGTTTTGGACGAAAACACCTAAAAATAGCCGGTAGAGCCTACCATACTCGTACTGTCCGACCGCATTGATCTCCTAGGTAGCGTAGTCTACCATGCTCGTAATTGTACTCGTGAATTTAGAATTGCTGCGAAGCTTTCATTCAAAATGCTGGCGTACGTTTCGTACCGAACCATACGTAACGAAGGGTATCAAAAAATCTATCCATCAACCCAAACCAAGGACAAGAATAGTTTTTCGATTTGGATCACGCGGGCGGGCGCGATGTTTTGAATCTGATCGCGCGGGTGACGCGAGCGGTAGGGCTTTAGTAAATTTTTAGTGCAAGTCGGCCGAGCTTCCCCCGATGCGATGGTCACCCCTCCGCATAATTTTTTCAAGAAATCTCGGGCTCACACCAAAACGGAACGAGATCCTGATGTACAGTACGTCATGTGGAGCCAAAAACTGCTGGAAAGAGGGTACGAACGTGTTCTAGAATACCAACGACGCATGGATCCGTCTTCTTGGGACGGATAGGAAATGCACCGTAATCAAACGTCGACAAGCCAGTACTAATACTGTTAACATACGACACACCGTTTGAGATGAATTCTTATTTTTACAACGCAAAGCTGTTTGACTACGGTGCACTCGCGAAGATCTTTCGATACAACGCCAAACCGATAGACCCAGTCACCCCAAATATTCTGCAGATATGCGATCGGTGACGGCATCGGAGATTCTTTTGCCAATTTCCTCCTCCAATGCACTGGCAACAGCATCGCCACTAGCGATTTGCACAAAGACCTTTGTAAGACTGTCGATGTCATCGGCGGTGTGAACTCGTCCGTTTGCTGATGCTCTCGAAATTTTCTGGAGTTGGCTTGAGTCGGTTCCGCCACGAAACCCAATAACATGGAGTTCGATATCTCCATAGCGGTTCTTCATCTCTTGGTTCAGTGTCTCAAAGAAACTCGCTGCTTGTTCAGAATCATCCGCACAGCCGTCACTTATAAATATAATCACAGGAGTGTGCGAAGGAGGAGTCTTCCGGGCAACAGCATAGGCCAACTCGGCTGCTGGTGCAAATTTAGTACCACCTGCAGACATGCACAAATTCACCGGGGCATCTGCAATGTTTTCTAATTCGCATATCACCCGTGCCCCGTTATCGAATTGGACAACGGAAACCGAATCCAAATGGTGCTGACGCCGTCGGCGATTCTCCAGGTATTTGTTATAGACTGATACAACTCCGGGCCAATCGTGTTTCATAGAATCTGATTCGTCGAGAACGAAAATGTTGTGCTTCTTTGAACCGTTGAGACTACCCCTTGATGTTGTGCCAATCGCAGTCTTTGGAACCAACGGGACTACAGTTACTTCGCGTTCCTCAACATTTGACTCATGACCCAGATACGCATTAGAAATCTCCTCTTCAAATTTTTCCGTTGCGACGGGATCAAAAGAACACAAAATCAAATCCACTCCTTTCTCCAATGCCTTCTCTACAACAGAATCTACTGTTACACCTCGAGGGTGTCGAACATCATACTTATCAATGGTATTCGTCGAGTTGCCGTAAGGGCTGTAGCCATGAGCGGGTGCATCCGTGAGCAACAATAGAGCTTTAATCGTACCTTCCCAGTCACAAGTAGAATTCCAACTTAAGCAATGAAGCAGTGCTCCTAGATGATCTTCGGCCATATCTCCACCACCAGATGAAGCGGATGTTATAGTATCTACGAAACGGTGGGCTTGCTGCAAATTTTCACTAAAATGTGAGCTACCGTTCAAACAGATTTCTTGGTATTGTTTGCTTCCATCGTCGATATCCCGAAAACCTAAAACAGCAACCCGAATGTTGAATTTGATGTCCGAGAATCCGCTCTCGAGTTTCGCAATTATAGAGTTTGGGCCGATCAATAAGTTTGCAACAATAGCAGAAACTGCATTTCCATAAACAGCCATGCTACCAGTGATATCAATCGCAAACGCAAGATCGAGATCCATCAGTCCAACATTAGCCTTCTTCTTGTTTAGATATAACTCTTTCAACAAACCCGTTGCCACTTGATAGTTCGAGTCGAGAAGAGCGTCAAAATATTCATGGGTAGCTTCATCCTGTTCTTTGGCTGCCAAAAGGTTCTCTTCTACAGCAGAATACTTTTCTTCCAAAGACTTTTTACGCGCACTGCACAGCTTTGAATAGTATTCTTTTCTAGGCCAGTTGTCAGTCAACCCGCATTTTATGTCAAAGTCGTCTTCCAAGTCTTTGTCCAACAGAATGAGTTTGTATGAACCCTGCTTACCCTGGCGTGCTGTCCGGCCTCTTATTTGAATCTCCTCGCTCATATCGGTGGACAGAAAAGTCTGAATGACATGCACACCACCGTTTCTTTCCAATGTCTCGTCCTTGCAAAAGAAGTCTGTTCCACGTCCGAAGACGGCGGTAGAAAGAGTGATTTGACCTGACGTGGCAGCTTTGCTAATAACAAATGACTTTTCGTTTGGACTCATATTCTCAGAGAGGATCTCCTTCTTCCGTCCAAGCTTTCGATACAATGCACTAGACATGTACTTCTCAAGTTGTTTTGACTCCTTGAAGAAGACGATGACAGCACGTTTTTGCTTCTTGGTGACATTTGAGATCTCCGTAGTAATCGTATGGAAGAAATCTCCGATACCTTTTTCAATCGCGACGCCATCTCCGCTTTTGTCAAAGGTTAAGTTTGATGCACTGTAAACGGAGGGTACATAAAGATATTGGTTGACACCGTATTTTCTAAGGACGCCCTTTTCGTAATCATTCATGACTTCCAGCGTTCCTGATACTCCGAGAATTCTTTTCGGTTTAATATTAGCATACGAAAATTGCCCGCATGAAATAGGCATTGTCAAGACACGGGATAGAGTAGCATTTCGATCTCTCAAATTTGAATTGTCAGCTTCCTTTAGGTATGCAAATACCGTCCTGTAACCGTAGGTGACATTGTAACATATGGTATCCTGAACTTTGTAGCCAATCTTGTCAGTACTACGATCCAAATAATAATATGGCTCATCGTTGACACGCCGCACTTGATCCAGCATAAGCTTGATTTCGTTGTCAATCAAATAGCTATGGCTAGGAATCTTCGCCTTCAGATTTTTGTACTCAGGCATTGCTTTAATGTCATCCAAACTGGATCTTTTCCCTTGTTTATGCACCTCCCAAATTCGTTTTAAAATCTTAGCAACTTCCTCTTCGTTCAATTCAGCAACTTGGTTATATGTTTCTGCATCATGGATATGTCAATGGGAAGGAGGTGTGATTACAGTGTTTTGGTGAGGTCAAAATCATAACTAAGAGCAAACAATTACAATTGTACTTACGGCCGTAGAATTCTGGTCCAAAGAAGACATCGACTTCGTCAACAAGCATTATTTCTTCTATAAACTTCCCCTGTACTTTCTTTGATATATTTCTCGATTCCTTGCTTTTTGTAGCATTTCTTTCTAACGCGATTCGCTTTCTCTTCCGAGTGTCATTTGATTCTATGAGGTTTAAAATGCTGTTATCCGTAGGTTGTTTAATACCAGTTGCTCGTAGTGCGCTTCGCGTCCTCTTACTGGTACTATTTGATTTTGCATGTTTTGAAACACCAGTATCTGTATGTTCCGTGTTCCGAGTTGCCCTTCTTGCACTTCGTGTCCTACTACTGATACTATTTGATTTTGCGTGGTTTGAAATATCAGCATCCATGGGTTCTGTGTGACGAGTTGAATGTCTTACATTGGGCAAGTTTTGGTGTAAAAGAGATATGGTTAAATCACGAATATTTCCTTTCGATGCAGTTGTTTCCTCTGACAGGGTAGTAATTTTGCTGTACTTTATCGACGACAAGAGATTAAAATGATCAAAAATATCACGAAAGAGATCGTAATCACGATTTGAAAGGTACTCGCTGTAACAAATACATCTCACCCGAAAGCCAAACAATCCAAGGATGACAGCGGCGGCTCCTAAAATTATCGATTTTCCTTCACCAGTTCTGATCTGCATGAGCTGGCTCTTCAAAGCATTCGATTTCGAAACACCACAGCCGAACATACATAGTAAAGTCAACACTTGAATATTGTGCGGTTTCATCAGCAACATGTTCGCTTTTATTGCACAATCGTTTGCATCTTGTTCAAACCGGTTATAACTCCCGCCAGATTTAAGAACAGTGAACAAAGCAAAAACTCCCGCCATTATCGCAGGTAGGGCACGCTTAGTTTTGGTACCGAAGCCATCATCACACGATAGAGGTTTCAGTCTTTCACAACAACCAATTGTCTTTTGAACAAGTACTTTCAGGTCTGCTTCAGGGCTCAAATATTCTCCCAAGAACAAAGTATACTGTGAATTGAATTCATTGTATTGTTTGAGTAACTCATCCGTATCTAGTTCTATGGAACTAGGATTCAATAAGTCATCGGTGAGACAATGCCCGATGATGTCTTTGATTGTGTCTTCAGGTGGCTTCTGGATAGTCTCTTCATTCCAAACCATTGTGAGAACCTCTTGAAAATGTGTGAACTCGTTGACTAGGTTTTGGGCTATACGAGCCTCTTCTTCAGTATCCATATCACCACTTTTTGAAAGACTCAAGCCAAGATCAAACACAAAGCTGTATCCCCAGTTTGAAGTAAGACATGACTCAAGAACATCCGACATTACCTTTTTGGTGTGATCTTTAAATACGGGAAGTTCCACCAATACGGCACCCATTTCCATGAAGTACCGACGAAACTCATCGCGATTGTTATTTGCCGTTTTCTTGTCCTTTATTAAGTTACGAGCGCCCATCCCAAGTTTCTTAATTTCGAGCTTAACTTTCTCGAGAATTCCAGTATTCCATGATGTAGGGAAAATATTTTCATGCGATTTGAATTTGTCCTCCATCATCTTGATATCCCTAATGTTCTGGTTGAGTTCCTCGTACTGTCGCTCTGACCAGTTCGTGTCAATTTCAGTGCGAACTTTTCGGACATGATTTTTGACGAGATCAATTATACTCCGTCTAATTTTTTCCGCTTCAAGCTTAGGACTCACGAGGTGTTCCAAAACTTCGATTCCTGGAAGTTTGAAAATCAGAGTTTCCACTAGGCCATAATGCTGCTCGTTCAACGCTATTCTCGTTACATCTCTAAGTCTATTTTCAAGACCGCGGACTTCATCGTCGAATGGTTTCATCAAGCGGTCTTCATCCGAAAGTATGTTCGTATTCAACTCATCGTATGCCTCTTTCACCAGCAGAAATCTAGCAGCTGCGTCTTCATCTTTGCATTTGTCGGGATGACAAGTCTTGCATTTTTTCCTGTAGCCACTTCTCACTTCTTTCACCGAAGAAGAGGGTACCACCCCAAGTCTAGCATAATATTTGATTCTCTTCAAGTCACGTCCATTTTGAAAGTGCTTCCAAATCTCATTTTTCAGATGTTCAAGCCATTCATCAGCCTCGACGTGGTTATACCCTTTTAGTTCCTCGTGAAAAAGAGAATATCTATCTGCAACGAAGCCACCAAATTTTCGTATATCTTCGATCTTTTGCTTCATGATAATGAATTCAAATCCATCAAGCGCTTTCTTGAGTGACAAAATGTCATCACAGAATCGTTCATAGACTAACTGATTGGTGAGATGGAAATTTTTTACCAAATTGGGGCATTTCATTAGACAACAGACATTGAGAACAAAACCCCGGAAGTCACTAAATAATGGTTCAAACGCCCTGCAGTCTTCAGCTTGAAGAGCTTGCTGGGAGTGTTTGCATATTGATAAGAAGAAGTCTTTAGTTTCGCTTTCCAATTCTTGCAAATGTTTGAATGCTGATGATAAATGCTTTCCAGCTAATGAATCAACTAGACGCAAAAACTCAAGGCTCTCTTTAAGCCTTGTAAAGTCGCGTCTTGCCAAAGCCATGCATCCACTATCGTATCTCTGCTGCACTTTTTTTTTCACCTGTATCCTTGTGCGATCGTACGTGAGGGTTGTTTTCCGTCCCGTAAGAAATCTTGACAAAAAACCCAAACCAAAAGAGACTGACGACCATTTATCTAGCCGTTTTGCCCATTCTCGAATTTCCCTTTCGAAGTTGCCTTCAAAGTTCATGCTAGACTCTTGCTCTCGGCAAGCGTCGGTCCACGTTTCTAAAAGACTTTTCGATTCGTCTACAATGGCCTCTGGAAGATGCTCTTTCATTCCCATATCGAGAGAAGTCATCAACTTATTGAATTGAGAGATAGAATCGTGGTAACAGCGAGTGTCCTCAGTCCACTTTCTCATTTCTTGGATAATGCCCTTCACCTTATCCGCAAGGATCTTCGTGCTGTTGAGATAAAGTTGCGATAAATCGTCAAAGATTGGTTCGTCAATTCTCGTCGTTGGTTTAAGCCCATCGAGTATCTTCATAATCTCTGCTGATTGGGAAAAACAGGATTTAACATATTTTTCTATATGCTGCGGTATGGATTTTTTCAGAATTGAAAAGGTCGTCCTGTTTCTGTCCATCTTCGCTTTGGATCTTTTGGTCAAGTATCGTCCTAGATGACGTGTGATGATATCAGTTTCATGATTTTGTCTTGCCACCAACACAAAATCTGCTCTGACGATCGAGTCGCTCATTCTGTCCTGCAAAGTGGAAACCTTTGCATTAATTTCAGATCTGTAGACGCTTGCATTCCACTTCGGGAGATAATCTCCGGCTTCGTCGTGCGCTTGTTCAAGAATTTGCGTGTACGATGCAATCTTGAGAACCTTTTCATCTGTCATTTTCCCGATGATTTCGTTTTGTAGTTTTGCTTCTATCAGTTTTAAAGAGTCTGAAATCTTTTTGATTGAACTCTCAAATTTGTTTTGCAGTATCTGACTTTTCGATTGCGCCAAGGGTTGCAAGAAACCACCGAGGCCGCTAAAGTCATTACTTTCTATCATTTTAGAGATGATTACATTGGCGTCACTTTCTTTTTTTTTACGGAGGTGCTGAAGAGGACGAACACGGCTGGCTACTTTTTGAGAGACAAACTCATCTAAAACCGACCCCTTTTCGAACTCCTGGAGAAGCCTGTCAATAGTATCGTATTCAGATGTCTGTTCAACCATGTCTTCAATTTTCTGGGCATCTCTTGAAATGCGCTGTCGTGTAGCCTCTTTTAAATCTTCGAGTTGTGGAAGATGCGGTGCTGCATATGGAAAGTCTCCTACAAGAGCTCGCACTCGAAATAAAATGGTCGCAATCTCGTTATATGTCATTTTTGAATCAGAAGATCGTTGCGTGTAATTTTTGAAGTCTGAAAACGCTACCATGATTTCGTCCTTTATCGATTGGGCAGTAACCTTTACTTCATCGCCCCCCTTTTCGGTGGGCATATCAATGGCCTCGCTTATCTCTCCTATTGCAACATCCAAAGTCTTGGTCGATGCTGTCAGTTTCTCCCAATCGCCTTCTATTGTATAGACCTGTTCTTTCCACAACTTTAATGCATACTTCCAGTCACTCATTCTTTGACGTAAATAATCGCGCACATTGGCGAAGACTGCAACTGAATGGTGTTCGAGATATTCGACAGAAGTGACTGAACCAAAACGTTTGTATTGTGCAATCTCAGGCAAGAGTTCTTTTACTTTCCTTATTTGACTCACCAGATTTCGTGCTCCTTGTGTCTGGCTTTCGGTGGTTAGTCTTCTCATGATCTCTGTGATATGCTGGGCTCGGAGTGCAAATAAGTCGTTGTAAGCAATTCGGATCTTCGCCAGAAAGCGTTTAATAAAACGATTTTCTTCGAGAAGAAAGTCGTCAAACCACAGGTATCGCTCAAATGTACTGAGTGCTTTTCCGTCTCGTTCTCCACATTTGACACCACGTAGACGTGCGTTTTGAGACATTTCCTCCAATTCCCCAGATTTTGCCTTGAGAAATGATTTCACTCTATCAATCGCGGCACTATTGTAACGTTCAATCTCATTCCATTGAGATCCATTTATTTGCGACAGAATTGACATTACCTCTCGAAGAACGTTCAATTTTTCACGTAGTAGATTGGGTTTATGGAAATATTTCTCTTTTATATCGGAGCAAGCGACTGAGTAATTCTCCGTGGTGAGGTATACAAGCAACTCGTGAACACCATTTACGAGAAGAAGTAAGTCATCTTGGAGCTTGACGCTGTCAATCAATTCGGAAACATTTTTAAGAGATCGAAATACATTTCCTAATGCTTGGATTGCTTTTGGATTCCAAATATCAATCAATTCCTTTCCCGAAGGAGGCGACAATTTTGCATGCCACTTTTCAAAACAATTCCTTAACTTCCGTACAAAATCATTGTACAATACTGATGCAAGAGAGATACCTTCGAGATGCAAGGAAAGACACTGCGCATTCTCGTGAATGGACTTTAATACCGCCAACGATAAAAACAACTTTTGCAGTGTATCAAATTCAGTCGAAGGAGCGCAAATCATTTCTGCATCGAATTTAGACACAATGAATGTTACTTTATCGACGACCTCATTTGCACTTGCCACCACAGGGTCGAAGAAAGTTTCTTTATACATTGGTTCTACGGTGCACCAAGCATGCAACTTCACTAGGTTCGTTGGTAAGCCATGGAAGTCAAACGTGGTGTCTCCTTGAATGCCATCGCTGGTATCAAATATGATACTCTTTTGAAACTTATCGATGCGTTGTGTGATTCGGTCGCGTTCGGCCCTTAAATCGAAGTTCGTTGGATCGATCGCTTTGAGTTGCGAGAGGGCAGCCTTTACTGAAGTGACATTGACATCATTGAATAATGAATCTGCGGATATTGTGGTTCCCATTTCAACTTCCTTTTCTAGAGTCTCCCTAAGATATTTGACGTGAGATCGGATAAGATAATTGTGTTCAGCAATAGCTTCTCGCATTTCTTTAAATTGAATGTACTTTCCAAAGAATTCAAAAGATTTCTGAATCTCGGTGACAAGTTTTACATTCACAGGATTCGCTTTCAACGCCATATTCAGGTCGGCCAACAAACTACGAACGACTTCGATCAGTCGCATCTGAGATAATTTGGTGAGGATACAGGAAGCCGTTTTGTCTCGCTTCGCGGCATCGACAATGTCGGTTTTCTGCAGTTTTTCCTCGATGAATTTAGTCATTTCAGAGAAGTCAGTCTTGAGAGGGTGAAAAATGTTGACAAAAGGGTATCTTTTTTTAAGGGACATGCGCATAAATTTAAGAAGCTCTCTTGCGTCGTCGCCATCCATAGTACCTTCAAATGTGAGATTGATTTCGCTCAGCAAACTCATTCTGGCTCCCTCGAGCGATACAGGAACATATTTCATCTCGTCAGCGTGTGAAAACAAAAACATAAAGGATTTCTTGTACTTATCGAAATCGCTGACAAAGTTGCGCATGAATTTCAATGTGGAACGAAATGCTCCTCCCCGATCCTCTAGCAAAGACACATAATGAATTAGGATGACAAAACGCATCGAGCGGCACTTTTTAGCAACCTGTGCCAGCATGGCTGATGTTGCAATATCGACCTCCTCTCCACTCGTGTCTTGAAAACCGGGCGTGTCAAGATAGTATGTAGGTTCACTGTTGATGCCATTGCCATTGCGCACATAGCACTTGATACTTTTTGTCTTGGAGGATTTCGCATGACCAACATCAAATCCAGGAACGGGATCTTTGGCATCAAAGACTTCTTTGGTCCCTGCATAGTAATCTCTCTCGCTGCCGCAAGAATAAAAGGACTTAGAAAACTTCTTTCCAGCAATGCCTTGGATAAGCGTCGATTTACCGCTTCCGGTTTTCCCAACAATCAGAATAACATCCTTCCCCTCAATTTGACGCAAGCATTCTTCTCCCTTTGCTATGCAGTCTTGCAAGAGGCCCATATCGAATTTATTGGAAAGATATTGGTTTTGGTTCTTAGCAACCTTGAAAGTATCGGGTCCGCCAACGTTGTCTTCGGTTTCCGATTCAAAACTGAATTCTTCGCATGACATATAAAACAGGCTGTCGCTTTCCTTCTCCTCGTTAGAAACCACGCGCCGTACGTCTTTCGAAGATGATCCGTCTTCGCCCACTCCAACATCTTCCATGACGCAATCGTTGTTGCTATCGCTGTTACCATCAGTAGCGAGTCTTTGCTGACGACCAGCACGGTTCAAAAAATCAATGTCAACGTACTTCTCTGTTTGAACCTTCTCGGCACGTTTTCCATCACCCCATTTTGCTCTTGACTTGTCTTCAAATTCTTCTTTCCTCTTATCCTTTAATCCATAGAAGAGAGCGTCCTCTTTGTCTTCTGCGGTACCACTCAATTCCGTATAGTTCTTGTCCGTACCACCGATCCCAACATGCTGGTCGGTTTGATTCTTCTCAAAACCTTCTGCCTCGTCATGTTTTGCGCCGAACGCGTCTTTGGATCCCTCCATTTTATCCTTCGTACCCAGTAAGACGTCGTCTCTTTTCGCCATCGCCAATTTGTCCCTCTGCGCACTGCCAAAACCAAACATGGAAAATAGATCGAGAGGACTTTGCGACGATTGGCGATTGCTGTCGTCAGTGCCTTGCATTTTGATTTCAGTATCACTTGCTGTAACTAGAACGTAATCCTAAAACTCCAAACTCCTACTAGTATCTTGAACTAATAGAAGAAAAGTAATCTTTCGTGGTCGAAAACAATCGATCTGTTCGGTCCAAAATGAAAGATTATGGAGTATCCGCACATGGTGAACGAAGTAAGGGTTGCCGGCTTCAGACTTCTGCTCGTGAACTGCTGTCCAGCTGCCACGGAAGAAGCTTGATTCTGAATTTTTTGCAGGTGGAGACCGACATGCCGCCTCGGTACCAGGAATAGGTTTCAAGAACCAGTAGAGTATCGTGCCATGGTATCTTTGTGTCGGTTCCGAGACCGTTTCTGTTGGACCTCTGGTTTCGTGAAACCGTGTTAACGCCGAGGCGGTACGAGACTGAGTGCACCCCAACTGACAGCAATCCCGCCATGATGCTTTCCGTGACGATGCTACAATTGAGTGACCTAAACAGACAGCACCAAGGTTGCAACAAAATTGTTTTCCAGAGTTGCGCGCCCAAGCATACCTTCTGTATGGTATCAGGTACGGTAGGAGAGCTTTTACTACGCGTAAAATAACAATTGAAATTACGTTAATTGAGGCATTGAATCGAAGTTGTCAACTTGCTGCCCAGTTGCCAAATATTCTATGTAGGATTAGTGCTAGTCCAAGTGGGGGAACGCCGGCAGGCCCGGCAGCTGCTGTTCCAGCTGGATCAGCTGCTCAGCGAGAAGCAAAATTGATCTAGTATTTGGAGGTGATATATATTTTTGTTTTTTCTGTACATGGTCACTGGAAAAAATTCCAGTACTAGAATGGAATCCTCAGTTTGGTGCTCTTCTTTTCATTTTTTGCTCGGTTTTGTTGTAAATTCCAGCAGGGTGTTCTTGTGACTGAAATAAACAATTGTTCAGTTTGAAATCTTCTTGAAGGTGTTGTGACTGGAATAAATAGTTAGGTTTCAAAATGTTTGAGGTACATGATGACTGGAATAAATAGTTTGGTTTTGAATTCTCCTCAAAGTGTGCCACTACTGGAATAAATAGTTTGGGTTTCAAAATCTTTAAGGTGTTTTGAGTGGAATAAATAGTTCCTTTTTGGATTTTCCAGGGTGGTGTAAGGGGGGAAACAGTTCCAATGCCAAACCATCGTGATTCTGTGAATTTGTTATTTGGAACATGTTTACTTCACTATGATATTACTGCTACAACAAGTACTAGGGAAAACCATTGTTATCACCAAACATTCAAAAGGAATGTTCCCCTTTCAATACTGCTCCAACTTTTCTTGAATAGAAGGACAAATGAAATCATCATTATCATCATCATCATCATCATCATCATCATCATCATCATCATCATCATCATCCAATACACCTCCCTTGCTGCCACCATTAGGATTTCCCACTGATATGCCTGCTTCAAGTAGAAACATTTCCTCGGTGAGTTTATCTTCAAAGTCCTTTCCAGTTTCTGGGCAACTGCTGCATACTAGTGATTCAACCTTTGGCATAAATAGCTGTATAGTTTTCTTCCTTACTTATGCCACCCTTCCTTTTTTCCACTGGTGGAAAAATTACAATATCTCTTTGTTGTAATCCTTACGAAGCATCTTTATGTCAATATTGTTCTCTCAAAGATTAATTTCTTCATTGTGAAGGAATACTAGGAGAGCAAAAGGCTTATTTGCCATGGTGAATATTTCACTAAGAAAATTCTTTGCCTGCCTTTTCTTGAAGTCAGTTCTGCCCAGGCTCACAGATGCCATTATTTGGGTCACAAAATAGAAAAACTTTGGTGCCACCAATCCATCATCACTAAACCACCTGTACCCACTGGGAATGCTGCAACCTCCTGGACCCACCTCTAGTATGGTACTATCATTATCTTTAACCAGTGCAATTGTCTGTGGAAAACCATCTGGTACTACAATACCACCCTTGGTGTAATCACCTCATATAAATAAGTTTTTGGAGAAGCCAAGCAGAAGAACATGAACAAGCAGTTAGGGTGAATGCCACATCAGTTTCCTTTCTCCACTACTATTAGTGGATGGCCCAGCATTACATCACAGCATTCTTGATCTTACTTATATATTTCTTCCATGCATAGTTTTGGATATTTCCATGGAGTGTTATTAAGGATCTTGGAATTTGGCCTTCCAATGACCATCTAAAATCAGTTTTGGGCATCTCCTTCATCTGGGCAACAGAAATTTTATCTATGTTATCCTGGACAATCATTGGGATGACTGTGGGAGTGACAATCTAATAGTGATGTAAATTGAGTGCTAAGAGAAAAGTGAGTCGATGCTCTTGTGAAGGATTGACAAACTAAGAAATCTAGGACTGATCAGAATGAAGATTGAGTGATGTGTGAATCGAATGAGTCAAGTCAGTCATGTGAGTGAATCAAATAACAGCAACAATCAATCCTGCTATTAGTTCCCCCATTTTCAAGTAATTCTTCCCAGATAGTAGCCACTTTATTGAGGTCAATAAGTCTTTTAAATGAGTACTTTGACATAAAAGCTATCTAAATTCTTCTTGCCTATTATCATTAAAATGCAGGAATGTACTATTTTATGAAATTCCTGGAATGATAGTATCAGTAGTACGACACTCAAAATACAAAGCAAAGATATTTGCAGCAAAGTACTGGAACTGATGAAAGAGTCAGAGTCCAAGAGACTTCTTGAAGCAGAGGACTTGGCTCCATGGAGGCCACTAGTAACATCACTATGGAACAAGTTGAAGAAGGAGATACTGGTGTTGATACTAGTGTTGATGATGTTGACATGAACATGTTTGAGCTGATGGAGGAAGAAGAGGCAAAAGCTGAAGAGGATCACTACTGTCAATTTAACAATGGTGCAGAGATGTCAACATTGATCATGCTTGTAGATGTGAACTTGAGCTTTACATGTGTTCTGAGTGCTTGGCCTTAGTCAAGACAATTGGAATTAAGACAATTAACAACAATCCACTCCAGTGGTGGAAAAAGCACCAGGCTTTCTTCCTGTGCAACCCACTTCAGCCCCATCTGAGTGCGTCTTCAGCCACACTTCCAGACTCCTATCAGGAAGGCGCTCCTGCTTGGATCCAGAGTATGTAGGAAAAGCATTCTTTGTATCTAAACACTGGGAGTGGTTTGAGAAGCAGGTTAATTTGGCAGAGATTGAGATGGCTGAAGCAGATGGTAAGGATGCTTATGATGAGTAAAGGAGGAGGTCTACGACCTACTACTACTACCTAGTAAGAGGAGGAACAACAAAGACTTTATTCTTTTCCATGAGTTAAGAAGTTGTTTTATGGTGTCAAATCATACATGCTGTGTGTCTTAAATTGGATACTCATCMTAGTAATTGGTAAATAAGTAGTAGTGAATAATGATGTTTGAACTGCTGTAACAGCTTTCCAATAGATTTTAGAGTTAGGAACATTTCAAATGTTTACTAGTGCTAGCATTACTACTAGTACGCATTGTGGATCAATTGAAACTATGGTTCACAGGGCGTTCCCAATCTTCATTTAACATTCCAAATGTTTATTTAATGTACAGAATATTTAATTTATTGCATAGGCCTACGTAGATCCTAGTATTATTCACATTCTTCATTTGGTAGCAAAACAGTATTGCATGTAGACCTAAGAAGGAAGAAGGGATCTAAAAAAGAGGAAGAAGAGGAAGCCTCCCCTGCTAACCACAGTACTCATTTCTACATGGCCTATGCTGCTAACATTTGGAATGTTAAATTAACATTGGGAAGGCCCTTTGAAACATAGTTTCAATTGATCTGCAATGTGCAGTATGCATAGTAACATTTCACACAAAATGTTACGTTAGTACTCAACACTAAAAAATCTGGTAACAAATTCTTTTTACTGTAACATAAGGTACAAAGTACCAGTAGACCATGGTAAAAAATGAAAAGGCAAATGAGACGCCCATACACAGGAATAAGATGATGAACCACAAAAGACCTAATTTGGTCTTTCCAAAATATTTAGTCCCACATGCACACAGCGTAGCATACTACTTTGTACTACTACTATAGCTATTAAAGGCAAGCCCTGCTGTACTGCTGGCAAGTTATTGGCAATTCCAAACCTCCAGGGCCAGCTGGCTTGCCTGCCATGCACATGTATCCCCTGTACATTACAGTACTGCAGTACATATCCTATGTAATATACATACATATTTTTCTACAGCAAAGCAATACTGAAATACCTACATCAAATGCTGCACCTCTTGCATTCATTCACACTCTTCCGCATCCACAAGCATTCATTCATACTCATCCGCATCCACAAGTGTTCATTCATACTCAAGGAGCTGGCGTGTGGATGCTTCATACTCAAGCAAAACAGCGATTAACTGTCTCATACTCAAGGAACCAGCGTGCGGAGGCTTCATACTCAAGGGAGGCTTTGATACTCAAGAAACTGGCATGCCAATGCTTCATACTCAAGCAAAAGCCCATTAATGTACTATGGAGGCTTCAATAATCAAGGGACCAGTGAGTGGTGTGGATCTCCGTATTCAAGTTGTTTGCATTCTTTGCAGATATGATACTCAAGTGCAGATCTCCATATGCGTTCTTTGTAGATACTCAGGCAAGTCTGAAGGGTGTACTGCCAAGCCAACTGACCAGCCAGTGATGGCAGGAGGAGAGTATATTCATCATGGACAGATGATCTTCATCATGGAAATGGGGTATGTCACCACAAGGGCAACATTTGTGGGTATTCAAAGGACTGCCATTTCTTCAAGCCAATCAGTGTTACCAATGAGGAATGACTGGATGATTTTGTACTAGTACAAGACAAGTTTAACATTGGTTCTTCCAAAAAAGCAACAATCAACCAACTTATGAGGTACTCATAAGGAGAAGCCACTGTTACCGAGGAAGTACACTGATATGGAAGAGTAGTACACTGATACAGAGGAGGGCACTGATGCCGAGTACGTTGATACAGGGGAAGTACACGGATAAGAAGTACACGGATACAAATTAGCCGCTGATACGGAAAAGCTGTGTACAGAGTAAACTGATACAGAGTACGCTGATATGGGGGAGTAAACTGATATGGAGTACAGTGATACGGAGTACGCTGATGATACAGAGTATGCTGATTAGGAGTACAATATGCTGATACATTATAGATTATGGAGGAGGACACAGCTCAGTTTGAAAATTATGAGGAGGAGGATGCTGCTCAGTTTGAAAATTATGAGATTCAAATTCTGAAAAAATCAGGCAAAGCAATGGTTGAAATGGGTTCAGTTCCTGAATAAATCCTGGTGCGGCCCTCAGCCATTTTCTGCACCAGAATTTTTTCAGAAGTCGTTGAATGACAAGTTTTAACTGTTTTTATTTCACTGATGGTTTAAAAAAAGGGGGATTTACCGGTGCAACCGGTAAAAATAAGCTA